TCCTAAGGGAAGGTCTGGGGACAGAAGTGACCTAGTTTGAGAACAGTGATGTGTGGGCCACTGAGGGAGTTGCAGAAGGAGACCATGGAGATAAAAGGGACCCTGAAGGGCACGCTATGGACTGGTAATGTCATGGCGTCATTGTATATTGAAGAAGCATATATGTATAGAAAATTGTTGAAATTATTTAAGTGCACGTTCCATGAATTTCCAAAGTGAATACGCCCATGTCACCAGGACCCAGATCAAGAAAAAGAACACGACCAGTCCATAGCCTCCCCTCATGCCTTCCCACCCACCCTGTCCCATTCTAGTCACTACCCCTCCCAAGGTTCATCATTATCCTGACTTCTAACGTCAGAGATCAGTTTTGCCTGTTTTTGAACTTTATATGAATAGAATGACAGAGTATATGCTCTTTTTGCGTCGGATTTCTTTTCAATATTGTGAGCTACCTTTCTGTTGCTCCTTGTGGTTACAAATTGTTCACTCTCCTTGCTGTATAATATCCCATTGTGTGACTATCGCAACTTATTTATGGAGTCAACTTTTTTTTTTTAAAGATTTTATTTATTTATTCATGAGAGACAGAGAGAGAGAGAGAGAGAGGCAGAGGGAGAAGCAGGCTCCCAAGGAGCAGGGAGCCTGATGTGGGACTCGATCCCAGGACCCTGGGATCATGACCTGAGCCGAAGGCAGACGCTTAACCATCTGAGCCACCCAGGCGCCCTTTAATCGTTTTTTTTTTTTTTTTTTAAAGATTTTATTTATTTAAGAGAGAGAGAGCATGAGAAGGGGGAGGGTCAGAGGGAGAAGCAGACTCCCTGCCGAGCAGGGAGCCCGATGCGGGACTCGATCCCGGGTCTCCAGGATCATGACCTGAGCCGAAGGGAGTCGCTTAACCAACTGAGCCACCCAGGCGCCCGTAGGGGTCAACTCTTAATAGACATTTGAATGGTGCTGCCATGAACTTTCTAGAAGATGTATCAGAGTGCACAAATGTACTCATTCTTCTTGGGTATAACCTAGATTGAAATCGTGGATCATCAGGTGTGTGTGATGTTCAGCTTTAATAGGTACTGCCCTCACTTTCCTGATGACAGAAATGGAAGTACAGAAGGGCCAGTCATTCATCCAGTCACCTAGCCACTGAGCCAGGACTAGAACCTGGGTTTGCTCTCTCCCAGGGTGGTATGTCTAGCTCTAGATTTCAAGGAGAGACTGACCTAGAGATTCAATAGAGTCTCACAGCAACACACATTTCATTTATGAGCTGTCCTTCCCATTAAACCTTGGGTTAGATGAGACCAATGACCAAGCATGAGAAGGGCGGCTCCTCAGTGGGGCCATAATTATAGACACCAATTTACAGTGAGGGAGCTGGTGCAGGGTCTTCTCTGCATCTTATCAAAGAACAGCATGAGGTGTGTGTCCTTGATGAAGCAGGACTTATATTCAGTCTATTTCAGTGCCAGACCCTGTGTAAGATGCTTTCCCATGCATCAACTCATTTAATCTTCTGAGCAGAGCCAAATCATATCCATAAGGACTAGAAACACATAATATCAAAAGAGAGTGTCTGAACTCTGTAAGCACACTGGGGCAATTTGGAACAGCACTTTCCAAATGATCTATGGTGAAGGACCAATTCATCTCAGACAAATATTTTTGGAAAATACAGTAAAAAAAGAATTATCAAAAAAATAAAATGAAAAGATATTCCAAATATAAGCTTCCAATTTTTATTATTATATCAAACAAATATAAAATTGCACTGCTAAATTCCTACAAAAGTTTCTAGACACTCTCGATTTCTGTATTTATATCATAGAGGACCAATAACAGTTTGCAGATCAATAATGGTTTTCAGACTACACTTTGAGGGGCACTGATTTATAATTCACCACTCATTCCCTAGTGGGAATCTCTCTTTCAAGAGAGACTGATAATTATCTTAGAAGCAGGAAGGTTTGTAAACAAGACATCTGTAAAATACGTAGACCCTGGAAACCATTCACATCCATACAGTTTCTGTTTACATTAATGGGACTTCACCATTTCACTGTCTTTATCAACATCACTATTCCAAAAATATCTTTCACGAAAAGATAAGAGTTACAAATAACTTCACTGTGGGTGCCTGGGTGGCTCAGTCAGTTAAGTGTCTGCCTTTGGCTCAGGTCATGATCTCAGGGTCCTGGGATCGAGCCCCATTTCGGGCTCCTTGCTCAGCAGGGAGCCTGCTTCTTCCTCTGCCCCCCCCACCCCACTCCACCCCACACCACCCGTGCTCATGCTTGCTCGCACACTCTTTCTCTCAAATAAATAAATAAATAAATAAAATCTTAAAACCAAACAACTTTATTGTGCTTTTCAAGACCTTCTCCCAAAACCTTACTGAAATGAACGTAAAACCTTTAAACTTTTCAATAGCGTCAAAAAGATTATTTACTCTCCAAGATTCTTTAAAAGATTTGCCTTTTTTACCTAACAATCCTAAACTATATGATCCTTAGCCAAAATTAAATAAGCACTCCCTCATTGAAAGACCTGCCTTAAACCAGATTCCAAAACCTTATAAATATCCCCCACTTTGCCCTCTCCCAGTCCAAGATTCTATGCAGACTCTGCCAAGGCAGGGCTCTTCTTACCATGGTGTACAATAAACTCAAGCTTTGTCTTCTCCACAGCTTATTTTGCTGGTGTTTTCTGAGAGCCAGCTTTCAACAACCAAGACTTTGTTCCTCTTTTTTAGTCTTGCTCAGGTGCTTTCACACTTTAGCATGCATAAACATTACCAAAGAGGGTTGTAAATGCAGAAGCATGCATGAGCATAATTCAAGAGATCTCCATGTATAATTTTGATCATGCCATATTTAGGACCTAAGCCTTGCCGACAATACCAGCAACTGATGAAGAAAAAAGAACCGCAGGATGTGGGAGCTGGAAGTGGCTCCAGGTGCCCAAATATTAGTGCGTAGATCAGCCCCATCAAATCACCTGATATAATCCCTGTTAAAAAATACCTATGCCTTGGTTTCGCCTCAGGTGTACTGAATCAGAACTTCTAGAGATGGGGCCTGGGAATGTTTATTACCAACTCCCTAAGGAATTGTGATGCACAATCAGTTTAGATAACCACTTTTCTGTTCCCCCACTTTATTTTGTGGATGAAGAAATGGAAACCCAGATTAAGTGAGTAGAGTTGGCTGCGATCACATAACTATTGAGCTGTGTGTCTCCTGATACCCTGACAGGAGTTCACAGGGCTAGAGATCAGATGTTGGAGATATTTTTATGTACTCAGTATCCTGAACAAGAATTGTTAGTGATGTAAAACAAAATCTATTTTGGCTTCTCCGTATCTCCTTTAAGATTTATCGAGATGGTGGTTGGCGCTGGGACGGTGTCGTAATCTTTCCTTGCTCCTGGGTGAAAATTTTAGCAGTCAGCATGACCTCTCTGCTTTCTGTTAGGTAAGAGGCATCGGCTAAAGTATAATTTTCAAAAAAAAAAAAAAGTAAGTATAATTTTCCAAAAAAAAAAGGTAGAATTGTGACTCTTACACAAAGATAAAATGAACACATACTCTGCTGAGACTCTATTGGCAGTCTTGTGTGTTACATTTTTGTTCTCAGGAATTATTGCTTGTCAGTTTGCTGATTAGCTGGAGTGAAGGCGGATGTGTTATTTAAAGCTTTAGGAATATGTCCTAGGAAGGAAGCACGGGTTGGCCCTCTGGGGAACTGCAGTGGGCACTGGGAAGAGATTCAAGGTCCAGGCAGCTACTAACCCAGGGTTTTTCGTAGTCAGACCACCTGGCTTCTTGAACCCACTTCCTTCCTTGCTCCCTTGGTTTGTTTCTCTGCTCATCACCCTGCATGTAACTAAAAAGAACACTCCAGTAATGGAGTCTTCATGATCATCACTAGTTGCTCGACTTCTGACATGAGTCTCTAGCTTAGTTCTGATTCTTGATTGAGATCATCTGATTGGCTGTTCTCCAGTCAAACATTCGCTCTCTTTGGGTCTGGTGGTCACCCAGGGTCAACCAGCTGTAGCCACTTGGAGGAAACAGTTGCCAAGGCGCTGTGTGTGTGTGTGGGGGGGAGAGACAGCCCAGAGAGCCCCAAACTTCAGGGGGGCAAGCACAATAAAACGTGCCTTTTAATCATTTCTAGCAAGAGTCCTTGAATCTTGGGGTTGGTGCCACTCCCCTGTTATCCCAAATGAGTTTGGTTGCCATTCTGTTGCTTTCATTTAGCCAGGATAAGTTTGGGGCACAGGGCTGTTTCACAGGAGCCCATGGATGTACCTTCCCGTTCATGTTTCCACCAACATTTGTGTGATCCTCCTTTGTACAAGCCATTGAGCTTCTAGAAACGGGTGTTTTGTAAGAAGATGTCTCAGCCCTGCTCTCACAAACTTCAAACTCCTCACCCTGGGATGGGGGTGAAGAGGAGGTTGACTGCCACAGAGAAGTGTAGCAACATGGATATGCCTAAACACATTTTGGTTCACTCTCTTCCCGGAGTGGACTCACGCTCTTTTTGGACACAAGACATGGCCTAATAACTGCACAGGTAGAAATGCAGGGGAAGAGCGAGCTCCTCACCCACCAGCCCGGGCGAAGACACTGGGAGACAGAGTAGCAGGTCGCCTGGCGTCAGCAGTCACTGAACCCGGGATTTGTCCCAGGATCTGTGTTGGGTGCAGAGCCCGGGGAGAATGTGGCCTCCAGGCTGGAGCGCTCCCAGGCAGGAGGGTCTCACACACACAGACAAGGCCGCACGTCCTGCAAGGGGCAGATGTGGGGCACTCTCCCTGCTCGGGGCAGCGCAGGGGCGCGAGCGCAGGCCCCAACGGTCAGGGCCCCGAGCGCGCAGCTCCTTCCAGGGCGGAGGGCGGCGCGAGGGAGGGAGAGAGGGAAGGGAAAGGCGAGCGTGAGCTGCCTCAAATGCTTGGAATAATTCCGCTTCCGTTTGGAAAGCCGCAGCCTCAGTCCCGCCGCACCCGCCCAGCGCCAGCTCCGCGTCCCGGCCGGCCCGCGCGCGGCTGCCCGCTCCGCCGCCATGGCCACGTCCCCGCAGAAGTCGCCCTCTGTCCCCAAGTCCCCCACTCCCAAGTCGCCCCCGTCCCGGAAGAAAGATGACTCCTTCTTGGGGAAACTCGGAGGCACGCTGGCCCGGAGGAAGAAAGCCAAGGAGGGTGAGTGCGGCCGGGCCCAGCGCGCTGCAGGGCCGGCGCCGAGG